AAAACTAGAAGAAAAGAAATATAGACTAAAAATTTTTTAAAAAGAACTTTCTTGTTTCAAGAAGCAACAGCAGGGGCACCTGGGTGGTTCAGTCGGTTAAGCGTCCGACTTCAGCTCAGGTCATGATCACACGGTTCGTGGGTTCGAGCCCCGCATCAGGCTCTGTGCTGACTACTAGCTCAGAGCCTGGAGCCTGCTTCAGATTCTGTATCTTCCTCTCTCTCTGACCCTCCGCTGCTCATGCTGACTCTCTCTCTCTCTCTTTCAGAAATAAAGAAAAAAACATTTAAAAATATTAAAAAGAAACAACAACAAGAAAAGCATAAGATACCTAGAAATAAACTTAACCAAAGAGGTAAAGGACCTGTACTCTGAAAACTATGCAACACTTACGATGGAAATTGAAGAGGACTCTAAATGGAAAGACATTTCATGCTCATGGATTGCAAGAAAAAATATTGTTAATGTGTCTATATTATCCAAAATAATCTACACATTCAATGCAATCTCTATCAAAATATTACCAGCATTTTTCACAGAACTAGAACAAACAACCTTAAAATTTGTATGGAACCACAAAAGACCCCAGATAGCCAAAGCAACCTTGAAAATGGAAAGCAAAAGAGGCATCACAAATCTGAACTTCAAGTTATATTACAAAGCTGTATTGATCAAAACAGTATGGTACTGGCACAAAATTAGACAAACAGATCAATAGAACAGAATAGTACTCTCAAAAATGAGCCCACAACTATATGATGAACGAATCAATGAAGCAGAAAAGAATATTGAATGGAAAAAAGACAATCTCTTCAACAAAACTGGCTAGCAACATGCAAAAGAATGACCCTGTACAACTTTCTTACACTATACACAAAAATAAATTCTTAATGGATTAAAGACTTAAATATGAGACATGAAACCATAAAAATATTAGAAAGAACACATGCAATATCTTCTCTGACACAGGCGGTAGCAACTTATTTCTAGATGTGTCTCCTTAGGAAACAACAGCATATGTAATTCCTGGGACAACATCAAAGTAAAAAGCTTCTGTATAGCAAAGAAAATTATTCAAAAAATCTAAAAGCAACATATGCAATGGGAGAAGTTATTTGCAAATGACAACCGCATAAAGGGTTAGTACCTAAAATATATAAATAACTTGTAAAACCAAATGCTCCAAGAACAAATAATTTAATTTAAAAATGACAGAAAGCATAAATATACATTTCTCCAAAGATATACAGATGGCCAACAGACACACGAAAAGATGCTCAACATCAATCACCATCAGGGAAATGCAAAATCAAAACTGCAATGAGATATCACTTCACTTCTGTCAGAATGGCTAAAATCAACACAAGAAATAACAGGTGTTGATGAGGATGGACAAAAAGGGTAACCCTTTTGCACTGTTGGTAGGAATGCAAACTGGTACAGCCAGCAGAGAAAATAGTATGTTGGACATATTACTATCCTCTGATCCAACAATTGTACTACTAGATATTTACTCATTAATACAAAAATACTAATTCAAAGGGATACATGCACTCAAGTGTTTATAGAAGCATTAACTACAATAGCCAACTTATTAAAACAGCTCAAGTGTCAATCGACTGATGAATGGATAAAAAAGGTGTGATATAGAATATTACCATAGAATATTACTCAGACATAAAACAGAATGAAATCTTGCCATTTGCAATGACATGGATAGAACTAGAGTATATTGTGCTAAACGAAATAAGTCAGAGAAAGACAAATACCATATGATTTTACTCATACATGGAATCTCAGAAACATAAAAAATGACCAAAGAGGTAAAAAAGAGAGAGGCAAACCAATAAACAGTTCTCTATAGAGAACTAACTGACGGTTAACAGACAGGACATGGATGGGGGCAGGGGGATGTATTAAATAAGCAATTGGAATTAAGTAGTATACTTGTGATGAAGACCAGGTGATGTATGGAAGTGTTGAATCTCTATATTGTATACCTCATAGTAAACTTACACTCTATGTTAACTAAGTGGAATTAAATAAAATCTTCAACTAATAAACAAACAAATAAATAAACAAATACCTAAGAATAAACTTAAGAATTTAGGTGGGGCAGCCTGGTGACTCGCTTGATTGAGCATCTGACTCTGTTATTTTTATAGAATAGCTGTGTTATCTTTTTTTTTAATACTTTTATTTTATTTTTGAAAGAGAAAGAGAGCATGAATGGTAGAGAGACTGAGAGAGAGGGAAACACAGAATCCCAAGCAGGATCCAGGCTCTGAATTGTGAGTACAGAGCCCAACATAGGGCTCAAACTTATGGACCGTAAGATCATGACCTGAGCCAAAGTCGAATGCTTAACCAATAAAATGTATGTATGTATGTATGTACCTAATTTAAGTTAGTTAACGTACAGTGTAATCTTGGTTTCAGGAATAGAACCGAGTGATTCATCTCTTACATATGACACTCAGTGTTCATCCCAAAAAGTGTCCTCTTTAATACCTACCACCCATTTACCCCATCCAACTCCCCTCCAGCAACCCTCAGTTTGTCTCTGTATTTATGAGTCTCTTATGGTTTGCCTCCCTCTCTGTTTTTATCTTATTTTTCCTTCCATTCCCCTGTGTTCATCTGTTGTGTTTCTCAAATTCCACATATGAATAAAATCATATGACATGTCTTTCTCTGACTCATCATAATATCTTCTAGTTTCATCCATGTTGTTGCAAAAGGCAATTATTTCATTCTTTTTGATCATCAAGTTGTATTCCATTGTGTGTGTGTGTGTGTGTGTGTGTGTGACATCTTTATCCATTCATCAAAATAAATAAATTAACTTAAAAAAGAAGAATTGAGGTGAATGAATTGTTCTACAAAAAGTATAACACACTGATGAATGGAATTGAAGATGACACAAACAGAAAGATGTCCCATGTTTGTGTGTTCAAAAAACCAATACTATTAAAATGTCCTTAGCAAAGCAGTCTGCAGGCTCAATGAAATTCCTGTCAAAATACCAACAATATTCTTCACAGAACTAGAAAAAATGATTCTAAAAATTTTTAGAACCACAAATTAGCTCAAAGCCAAAGTAATTTTGAGAAAGTTGAACAAAGCTAAAGGTACCCCAATCCCAGATTTCAAGATATACCACAAAGCTGTAGTAATAAAAACAATATGATATTGGCATAAAATAGACAAACAGGTCATTGGAACAGAATAAATAGCCTATAAATAAACCCTTGCTTTTATGGTCAGTTAATCTATGACAAAAGAGACAAGAATATACAATGGGAAAAAGACAATCTCTTCAACAAATAGTTCTGGGAAAACTGGGCAGCTACATTCAAAAGAATGAAAGTGAACCACTTTCTTACACCATACAAAAAAAAAAACAAAAACAAAACAAAAACAAAAAAAACACCTGAGAATGGGTTAAAGGCCTAAACATGAGATCTGAAACCATAAAAATCCCAGAGGAAAACTTGGGCAGCTATTTCTTTGGCAGCAACCATAGAAATCTTTTTCTAGAAATGTATTCTTTGGCAAGGGTAACAGAAATTAAAGTAAATTATTGGGACTACACCAAAATAAAAAGCTTTTGCACAGTGAAGGATACCATAAACCAAAGAAAAAGAAATCTAGTGAATGGAAAAATATATTTGCAAATGATGTGTCAGATAAGTGTTTAATATCCAAAATACATAAAGAACTTATACAACTCAACACTAATAATAATAATAATACTTCGATTAAAAATGGGCAGAGAACCTGAATAGATATTTTAAGGATATATGGATGGCCAACAAATACATGAAAAGGTACTCAGCATTATTAATCATCAGGGAAAAGCAAATTAAAATCACAACGAGGTATCACTTTACACCTGTCAAAATGGCTAAAATCAAAACCACAAGAAATAACAAGTGTTGATAGGAATATGCAGTAAAAGTAACTCTCGTCATTGTTGGTAAATTGGTGCAGATACTGTAGAAAACAGTATTGAGATTCCTCAAAAAATTAAAAATAGAATTATCATACGATCTAGTAATTCCACTAGTGGGTAGTTACCAATAGAAAACAAAATATTTTTGCAGCATTATTTACAATGTTTATTCTTTGTTTATTGCTTATTGTTAATTGTTACGTTTATTGGGACATTAATTACAGTAGCCCAGAAATGGAAGTACTTCAAGTGCCCATGCAAATATGAATGGATACACACACATAATGGAGGATTAGCCATAAAAAAAAGAGTAATATCTTGGGGTGCCTGGGTGGTTCAGTTGGTTAATCGTCCGATTTCGGCTCAGGTCATGATCTCAAGTCTCATGAGTTCAAACCCCATGTTGAGCTCTGTGATGACAGCTCAGAGCCTGGAGCCTGCTTTAACTTCTGTGTCTCCCTCTCTCTCTACCCCTCCCCTGCTTGTGCTCTCTCCCTCTCTCTCTCTCAAAAATAAATAAACTTTAAGAAAATTTAGGGGCGCCTGGATGGCTCATTCAGTTAAGTATCTGACTTCAGCTCAGGTCATAATCTCGCATTTGGTGAATTCCAGCCCCATAATGGTCTGTGGGATGACAACTCAGAGGCTGGAGCCTGCTTTGGATTCTGTCTCCCTCTCTCTCTGCCTCTTTTCCACTCACAATCTATCTCTCTGTCTCTCTCTCAAAGATAAATAAACATTAAAATTTTTTAATTAAAAAATGAGTAATATCTTGAGACTCTGATAGACAGGTAAAATGGAATGGATAACTGGACATATGAATGGACTGGGAAGGAAGCATTATGGGTGGAGGGAGCACCCCATGATTTCCATCAGAGCCACCAAAATCCATTTCCAATATAACTCCTAGCTAAATAAGAGAACTGGACCTCCCTGCAGATCAGCAGCTTTAAGTGTGTCCTGGATTACCACCCATGAGCCGTTTCTGACTGTTTTGGAGCCTCTACTAGATTTAGTATTGTAAAATTATTAACGAAGTATCTAAGCCTGTGTTGAACAAGACAAGCTGGGTCCAGCCTTTGAAGATGCTTTTGAGGTCCTGAGGCAACATCCAATCAGAGATCTTCAGTACTCCCCAGATTACAAAAATTACCTGGCTTTCATCAACCACTGCTCTCATGTCAGAGGAAATTCCAACTGCTATGGTGTGCTGCCTACAGAGGAGTCTGTCTATAATTGGAGAACAGTAATAAGGAGTGATGTGGTCCTCTATTGTGAAGGAAATATTCATCAATCTCTGTCCATCATCCCTGAAAACCAACTGGTACAACCTGCTGTTCTCCATTGAAAGGAAGGGAAAGGCAGGAAGAAGCTCCCACTGTTCGAATACCTTCATGAATCCCTGTGTAATCCTGAGATGACATCTTGTATACAGTGGGTAAATAAAACCAAAGGCATCTTTCAGTTTATGTCAAAAAAAAATTTGCCCAACTTTGGGGAAAAAAAAAAGCAACCAGAAGACCATGACTTACCAGAAAATGGCCAGAGCATTGAAGAATTATGGAAGAACTAGGGAAATCACCAAAATCCAGAGAAAGCTAACTTACCAATTCAGTGAAGCCAATCTCCAAAGACACTCTCCATCTTATTTCTTAGAAAAAGAGATCTTCTACTCACTGTATGTTCAGCTTGAGCAAGGCTTTCTCAGCTTCAGTAACTGGAATGCAAATTATAATTGTTCATATGCCGAGTACCATGAGCTAAACCACTCTGACTGGTAAGAAGTCCCTACCAATTTCAGGATTTTTTTCTCTTAAAGCAAACACTGAAGAGGAAAAAACAATTAACTTCATTGTTTCTATTTTTTATTAAATAGCATGTAATGTCTACAGAGTTGGTAAAATATCTTCCAGCAAATAAGTTAGATGATCAAGTCACATTTGAAGGTATGGACTAACCGTCCTTGCTCTTATTGTTGCCTATGCAATACTTCTAGATAAACAATGCTAATAGAGATAATTTGACTCATATTGATTTAAACGTTGCTTTCCTGTCATACACTCAGGTAAAAAAAAATCATTCAACATGTATCTGATAGCTTTAGAGACAAAACAAAATAATTGCATATGATAGTCTTCATGCTACACTCATGACTTCAAAAACTGTTTTTTCTCTGCACTTCAGACCTCATGGTCTGTAAACCTGTGGTGCTAAAGAAATGATTTAAGGAAAATGCCACCTACTTTAATAATAATAGAGCACCAAAGCTTATACTTCTCACAAATCATTTTCTGGGGTTTCACCCCTAGGGTAGATCCAGGAGCTAACATTTCTTGCTATCCTGCCACTCGGCCACAGGGAGGTGCTCTTGCCTTGTTATCTCTTTAGACCAACGTTGGAACCTGACCTCTTTCTTTGAAGTAGCCCAGCTAAGACCAGAGTGAAACAATTGAAAGAAAAAAAAAAAAAGAAATGAAAACAGACTGTGATAAAGAACAGAGACTAGCGAATAAATACAAAGAGGAACCATGATTTAGACAGTCTGACTTGAAATCTATGGTTTATTCTCAACATCCCATCAGGAACGAAGAAGAAAGAAACCCTGGGAAGAAACCCTGTTTCATACTTCCTGCTTGGCAGGTTCATACATACCCCGTATGTATTACCATTACACAAGAGAGCTTCCTAGACTACATAGGCCACCTTCAGTCCAGGCCAAGAGGGTCCAGCTAGCAGGCCAAGAGCTCCCAAGAGCTTACCCTACTTGATTTTTATCCCTTTTTATTTGTGTCCTTTTGGTGCCCTTCATCCCTCATGGATTCTGAAGAAAGAACATGGCAGGCCCGGAGTGAATAAATGAAAGCTAACAATATCTCCCTTCTCCACATGTAGTCTGGGCCTCTGTTATAGGCTGAATGTTTGTGTCCTCCCAAAAATCATGTTGAAACCTAATCTCCAATATGATGGTATTTGGAGGCAGGTCTTTGGAAGGTAATTAGGTCAGAGGGTGGAGCTTTGAAGAGTGGGATTAGTGCCTTATAAAAGAGCTCCAGAGAGCTCCCTTGCCCCTGCTGCTTTGTGAGGACACATGAATGGCCTCCCATGAACCAGGAAACAGGCTCTCACCAGACACTGAAGGTGCTGGCACCTTGATCTTGGACTTCCCAGCTTCCTGAACTCTGAGAAATAAATTTCTGTTGTTTGTACGCCCCTCTCAACCCCAAGAAAAGAGTAATATTTTGCCATTTGTAACACTATGGATGACCTCAAGAATATAATGCTAGTTAAATAAGTCAGCCAGAGAGAAACAAATAACATATTATTTCACTGCTGTGTGGATTTTTACAAACAAAACAACATAAAAAGAGAGAAAAAAGAGACAAGCAAAAAAGCATACATTTTTTTCTATCATACTTTATTGTCAAATTGGTTTCCATATAATACACAGTGCTCATCCCAGCGAGTGCCCTCCTCCTTGTCGATCAACCCCCTTCCACTCTCCCCAGCCCCATCAGCCCTCAGTTTATTCTCAGTATTCAAGAGTCTCTCATGGTTTGCCTCCCTCTCGATCCTCAACTATTTTACCCCTTTTTCACCCCATAGTCCTCTGTTAAGTTTCTCCTGTTCCACTTATAAGTGAAAACATATGGTATCTATCTTTCTTGGCCTAACTTATTTCGCTCAGCCTAACACCCTCGAATTTCGTCCAAGTTGCTACAAATGGCCAGATTTCATTCTTTCTCATTACCGTGTAGTATTCCATTGTGTATATAAACCAAATCTTTTTGAAACATTCTTTAGTTGATGGACATTTAGGCTCTTTCCATGTTTTAGCTATTGTGGAGAGTGCTGCTATGAACATTGGGGTACATGTGCTCTTATGCCTCAGCATTTCTGTATCCCTTGGGTAAATTCCCAGAAGTGCTATGCTTGGGTCATATGAGAGTTATAGTGTTAATTTTTTGAAGAATCTCCACACTGTTTTCCAGAGGGGCTGTGCCAGTTTACATTCCCACCAACAGTGTAGGAGGGTGCCCGTTTCTCCACATCATCGCCAGCATCTAGAGTAAACTGATTTGCTCATTTTAGCCACTCTGACTGGCGTGAGGTGGTATCTCAGTGTGGTTTTGATTTGTATTTCCCTGATGAGGAGGGACGCTGAGCATCGTTTCATGTGTCTGTTGGCCATCTAGATGTCCTCTTGGGAGAAGCGTCTGTTCATGTCTTCTACCCATTTCTTCACTGGATTATTTGTTTTTCAGGTGTGGATTTTGGTGAGTTCCTTATAGATTTTGGATACTAGCCCTTTATCTGATATGTCATATGCTGTTATCTTTTCCCATTCAGTCGGTTGCCTATTAGTTGTATTGATTGTTTCTTTTGCTGCGCAGATATTTTTATCTTGATGATGTCGCAATAGTTCATTTTTGCTCTTGATTCCCTCAGATTTGAGGATGTGTCATATAAGAAACTGCTGTGGTTGAGGTCAAGGAGGTTGCTACCTGCTTACTCCTCTAGGGTTTTGATGGATTCAGGTCCTTTATCCATTTTGAGTTTATTTTTGTGTATGGTGTAAGAAAGTGATCCAGTTTCATTATTTTGCATGTTGCTGTCCATTTCCCCAACACCATCTGTTAAAGAAGGTGTCATTTTTCCCTTGGATACTCTTCCCCGCTTTGTCAAATATTAATTGGCCATACATTTGTGGGTTGAATTCTGAGTTCTCTGTTCTATTCCATTGGTCTGTGTCTGTTTTTGTGCCAATACCATACTGTCTTGATGATGACAGCTTTGTAGTAGAGGCTAAAGTCTGGGATGGTGATACTTCCTGTTTTGGTTTTCTTCTTCAATATTTGGCTATTCAGGGTCTTTTGTGGTTCCATACAAATTTTAGGATAGTTTGTTCTAGTTTTGAGAAGAATGCTGGTGCAATTTTGATTGAGATTGCATTGAATGTGTACATTGCTTTGGGTAGTAATGACATTTTAACTATATTTATTCTTCCAATCCATGAGCATGGAATGTTTTTCCATTTCTTTTTGTCTTCTTCAATTTCCTTCATAAGTTTTCTATAGGTTTCGTCATACAGATGTCTTATATCTTTGGTTAGGTTTACTGCTAGGTATTTTATGTTTTTTTGTGCAATTGTGAATGGGATCAGTTTCTTGATTTCTCGTCTGTTGCTTCATTGTTGGTGTATAAAAATGGAACTGATTTCTGTACGTTGATTTTCTACCCTGCAATTTTGCTGAATTAGTGGATTAGTTCTAGTAAGCTTCTGGTAGAGTTTGTTGGGTTTTCTATGTAGAGTATCATGTCATCTGCGAAAAGTGAACGTTTGACTTCTTCTTTGCCAATTCTGATGCCTTTTCTTTCCTTTTGTTGTCTGATGGCTGATGCTAGGACTTCCAGCACTATGTGAAACAACAGTGGTGAGAGTGGACATCCCTGTCGTGTTCCTGATCTTGGGGAAAGCTTAAGGTTTTCCCCATTGAGAACGATGTTAGCTGACAGCTTCTCATAGATGGCTTTTATGATGTTTAAGTAAGCTCCTTTTATCCCAACTTTCTCAAGGGTCTTTATTAAGAAGGAATGCCGTATTTTTTCAAATGCCTTTTCTGCGTCTATGGACAGGATCATATGGCTTCTATCTTTTCTTTTGTTGATGTGATGTATCACATTGATTGATTTGGGAATATTGAACCAGCCCTGTAACCCAGGAATGAATCCCCCTTGATCATGGTGGATAATTCTTTATATGTGCTGCTGGATTCGATTTGCAAGTATCTTGTTGAGGATTTTTGCATCCTTGTTCATCCAGGATATTGGTCTATCGTTCTCTTTTTTGCTGTGTCTCTGTCTGGTTTGGGATTCAAAGTGATGCTGGCTTCATAAAATGAGTCCGGAAGTTTTCCTTCGAATTCTATTTTTTGGAATAGCTTCAGAAGAATGGGTATTAATTCTGATTTAAATTTCTGATATAATTCCCCAGGGAAGCCATCTGGCTGAGGGTTCTTATTTGTTGGGAGAGTTTTTAATAACTGATTCCATTTTTTCACTAGTTATGGGTCTCTTCAGATTTTCTATTTCTTCCCGTGTGAATTTTGGTAGTGAATGTGTGTTTAGGAATTTGTCCATTTCTTTAGGTTTTCCAGTTTGTTGGCATATAATTTTTCTTCGTATTCACTAATAATTGCTTGTGTTTCTGAGGTATTGGTTGTAATAAATCCATTTTCATTCATGATTCTTTCTATTTGGATGCTCTGTCTCTCTCTTTCTTTCTTGAGAAGCCTGGGTAGAGGTTTGTCAATTTTGTGTATTTTTTCAGAAAACCAACTCTTGGTTTCATTGGTCTGTGGAACTATTGAGTTTTTTTTTTTTTTTTTTTTTTTTTTTTTTTTTTTTTTTTTTTTTTTTTTTTTTTTTTTTTTTTTTTTTTTTTTTTTTTTTTTTTTTTTTTTTTTTTTTTTTTTTTTTTTTTTTTTTTTTTTTTTGGTGGTACTATATTCTTTATTTCTGCCCTGATTTTTATTACTTTTCTTCTCCTACTCAGTTTAGGGTGCTCTTATTGCTGTGCTTCTAGTTCCTTTAGGTGCATTGTTATATTTTTTATTTGTGCTTTTTCTAGTTTCTTGAAATAAGCCTGGAGTCCAGTGTTCTTTCCTCTTAGGACTGCCTCTGCAGCATCCCAAAGAGTTTGGATTTTTTAATTTTAATTTTTATTTGTTTCCATATATTTTTAAATTTATTCTCTAATTGCCTGATAGGCCCATTTGTTCTT